TAACAACAAGCTTGTCTTCTGGATGGTTAACAACCTAAGCTTGCAGACCAAAATTAGAGAAATGAGATGAAAGCTACTATTTTGGTGTATATATAGAAGAATCATTATGTGAATCCTTTTAAACTCAATTTTTTGCTTTCAAAGCTACTACCAAATGGGAATTAAATATGTCTTTGAAATCACTGTATATCTCACTAAACCATACCAGTTCATATTCTGTTTCTCACCATGGTTAGAGAAATACCATGGGATTGACTACTAAGACCCAAAGTGAAATGATCTTCCTATAAACTGAGAATTTCTCCAGGGACATTCGTATTTATCCACTCCTGACATAAACTTACCACTTCAATGTACAAATGAAAATTATAATGAATCTGTGCATTTTAAATTGTTCACTATGCTTGTTTTGTGGGGGGAGTTATATTTGGGAGGGAGATCTCAATATTTCTTTCCTGAAAAGTCTTCCTTAGTTGATCTCTCTAAGGTCCAGGAAAAAGCTTCAAAGCACCAAAATCCAAAATTCCCCTTATACATCCTGGTGAAAATATTATTGTACAAATTTCAAATATTATTCAAAATTGGGGCCAGAGAGATAGCTCAGAAGCATAAGCACCTCCCTGACAAGGACAAGCATCCAAGTTCAATCCCCAGCACCAAATTCTGTGCATTCTCTGCTCCCAATGCTCAGGCCTGCCGACATTGGCCCCAGAATCCAGGACTTGCCATTTCAGCCCCAGATGCGGGTACCCACCATGCAGCCCCAGAACAGGGCATGATGGTACATGCCTGTAATCACAGCACTAGGCAGATTGAGCCAAGAGGATCTCTGTGAGTTCAAGACCAGCCTGGAGGCTATAAAAGTGAGCACAGGGCCAGCCCTAACTGCATAGCGAGGCCCTGTCCCAAAAATAAATAAATAAATATTATTCAAAATACTTCTTTTTTCTATCTTTTTATCTTTTATATATTTGGTACAGGGTTCCACTACACAGATCAGATTCATAGTGACCTTCCTGTTTTCAGCCATCTCAGTAATGGGATTACAGGTGTGTGCTAACATACCCAGACTCTGAGGCCAGCTCAGCACACTCCAGGGCAAGTCAGCGCCATGTGTGGTGCCTGGGATCAAATTCCCATCACTGTGCTTGCCTAAGCAGGCACCTAGTCTGCTGAGCTATCTCGCAGGCCCACAAACTAGTTTAAATATTCTAATAAAATTTGTTTAGTAGTTTCTTTTTATATAATTTTATTCAGAAATAGCAATGAGACAATTTCCAAACCGATAACTAGCACAGTTTCAATAATTAATACATTGCATATTGTTGTCTTAGTGTTTATTCACTGTTCAAGATGCAGACATGATATCCTGTCCACAAACACTATTAGGACAAATCTTTCTATTAGTTGAATTAAGAGAATGGAGCTGTATATCTCTCCTAACTATTTTGAATATACAGATACAAAATGGTCCTTCATTTGCATTCCTTTTTTTCATTTAGTTTTCTCAAAGAAGGGTATTCCATTGTCATTTAAATCTTACAGGTGCGTGAATTCAGCAAAATATTCCAATATAGTCCAGTAGTCCATAATAGTAGTGGGTTTTCCATAAGACTGGCAATGTCAGAAGTTGTTGACTTGAGCCTTTTACAGCTCAGCATATTAATATGGCTTTATTTGTCATACCTCATTTTTATTTTTTTCTGCTGGATGGTTAAGACCAAGATAAAGCAAGATCTATATAGCAAGAAATGTAACTTTTGTATCTGATAAGTTCAGTCAAATCCCCTCAGGATTTATCCTGAAACCCTGTACCACACTTTGTAGATCCTTTGTCAGTGTCAGCCATGTGGATAAGTCACGGCCATTGCTTGACCAATTTGCTCTCTGTGAAAGTCTGAGAGAATGTTTTCTCTCCATGTGACTCTCCTTAGGCACACTCTACATCATCGACCACTTTCCACTGTGGCCCCATAATCTCCTTGATCAGAAAATTTGGGACACAACTGAGTTACATGATGTTACAGTACAGAGTCTCTTATGTTCTTTTAGTGAAACTATATACAATTAATGAAAATCCAATTTGCTTTACATTTCTACTTTTCATCTCTGCAAAAGTAATGGTAAATAAAAAGTGACATTTGCTGCAACTGAATCACAGCGTCAGATGAAGTATTTTGCTCCTTTATGGCCATCACAGGACCAGAAATTATGAGCAATTTAACCCATATAATGCAGGTTCATTTAATAGTTTCCATATCATTTTCAAAGAATAATGTAACTAGGTGATGAAAACATAAAATGTACCTAGCTTTCAGACCTGTAAAATTGTTCATTCTTAAAAACAGAACAAATATTGAGTAAAGTAACTCAAGAGCCATAAGAAAAAGGCCCAATTAATTACATTTGTTTCTCACAACAATCAATAAAAGTATGAATAATTTGTTATTTATGAATGAAACATCTGGAGGTATATTCATCTCCAAATGAAACTTTAACAAAAGAATTCAAAATAGCAATTTTTGGTAAAAATTATACTAATATTACCACCGAGAATCATGAAACTCTGTAATATGTAATATACTGTAATTCTCTGATATACTGTAATTCTCTGATCCATAGCACTGTACAAATATGTTTTAAATTTTAAGAATACATAAGATTGGCAGTATAATGTGTGCACATCCATGGAGTGCAACAAGTTTCCTGGAATGTACTTACCAGCCAGAAATACCAAACTTATCATTCTACTGAACTCTTCAAATTCTACATGCTAGTTAGGTTCAGTGGCCTACACTTGGGTCTGAAGTAGTTGCAGTCACATTGGAAAGTAATGTTCCTATCTACCTCTTCAAATCGATAAGCACAAGCTATTCATTCCATCTATCCCTCCTGCATAATCTATCATACAGAAATAAAAGCATCAATGTACATGAACATATTGAACTAAACAACATAAAGCAATATGTTAATGAAACTACTACACTAATGACATGGATGCTCACATTAGAGAAATGTGTACATATTCTGCTGTATCAAATGTTATTGTAGCTATGAATCTCTTAAAAATATTGAGATCTCTACACTATTTAAAAAAGGCACCCTCTCATACATATTCATATTCCAGAATCAAAAAAATGTTCTTACCAAAAAATGGAATATGTTTATTCAATTTAAATGAAGTTGAGTTGGAGGGCGACCATTATTACAGGCCTTTCACCCAGTCAGTCTGTATGTAAAACCACTTTTCTTCGCCTCAGTTTTATCAGAGCCTTTTTCATCTCATTGTTTCGCAAGCTGTAGATAAGTGGATTCAGCAGAGGTGTGAGCAGAGAGTAAGCCAGCGACATGAGTTTCTTGGTCTCCGGGGAGTAGCTGGCTTTGGGTTGTAAATAAGTCATACTGGCCGTGCCATAGAACAGGGTGACTGACATGAGGTGAGAGGCACAGGTGGAAAAGGCCTTCTGCCTCCCGGTAGTTGATGGCATCTTCAGGATGGCAAAGAGAATTCGAATGTAAGACAAGAGGATCAGTAAAAAAGGAACCACAATAATGAATATTGTGCCTGTAAAACTGTACATTTCAAACAAAAATGTGTCTGCACATACAAGCTCCAGCACTGGAGGAGTCTCACAAAACAGATGATTGATTTCACTGTGGTCACAAAAAGGAAAACTAAACACCCACGTTGTCTGCACAGTAGCCACCATAATCCCTGACATCCAGGAGAATATTAGTAACTTCACAAGAAGACTTTTGTTCATAACAGCTGGGTAGGTCAGAGGATGACATATTGCAGCAAATCGGTCATAGGCCATGGCCCCCAGGAGAAAGCATTCAGTTATACCAAAAGTAACAAAAAAATACATCTGTGCAAAACAGCCAACAAAAGAAATTGTGGTTTTCTTAGTGGACAGGACCACCAGCATTTCAGGCATGATGACTGCTGTGAAACTCATCTCCACCACAGCTAAGTTCTGCAGGAAGAGGTACATGGGGATGTGGAGGCTCTGGTCCAGGAAGATGACCACTATGATGATGGCATTTCCAACCAGGATCACCAGATAAACAACCAAGAAAATCCCAAACATCATCTCTTGGAGCTCAGGAAACTGGGAAAAGCCCAAGAGGATGAATTCGGCCACAGAGCTATGATTTGGCTTGTTCATCTGAGATGAGGCCCTGGCTTATTCTTGGTGACATACTATCGTGTACGAAGAATGACTCTACAGTTCAGTAGGTGAGAATTCCAGCCTCATTATCACCAAAATTTCTATCAGGAGATCAAAAGAAAAACCATTTTGATAACAATTAAGTTTGGAAATTTTAGAGAATGACCAAATGTTTGAATTAATGAATCTTTCAAATATATAAGAAGTAACTAATTTTGGCTTAAAAATCTGGCTTGCAAAGTACAAATATTATCTAGCTTCTATTGCACACTGAAACTATACAATTTGAAAATTAAATATACCCTTTAGTAGATACAAATGAATTTCCAGATCCATAGCATGGCTACAGTCATGTATTTTACTTAGCTTCACATGAATATATAATTTAAGACTATAAAAACAAAATGTAAAAATGTAGATGGAAACTCTATTGCCAACATTTTTGTAATAATATAATAATTCAGTTCTGGTAAATTCTGCATAGATATATTCAAAGTTTTTATTACATGTCAAATAAATAGAGTTGAATAAGACAATGAAAGATAAAAACACTCCATAGGAACATTCAGAGGGACTGGTGTTTTAGATGCACCTATCTTGGTTAAGTTCTATAGACTATATAAACTGACTTCAGACTTATTGATTTCTAGTCTATTCTATAAGAATTTCCTGAGCGTCAATTTTTTAGGGCTAGACCTGCAAGGTCTGTCATTATAATCATGATAACTTAAGAAAAAGTCTTATTTTTTGTCACTATGGAAATATAATTGAAGTTTCCAGCCACTTCTTCCCACTCTCCTCTTTATTAAAGAATTCCTGTAATCATTAATTACTCAACAACCTCTGGTACACCACCTGCCATTTTCTTGGCTCTCTATAGTCAAGATTATATTTGAGTCCAGGCTCAGCAGGCCCTAAACACACTTCATAAAATACCTGTGATCTTTTAACAATATACAATATAAAATAGCCCCTGCCAATACATCTCATGATGCTCCACTACTTTCAACTCACTATATTTTTTCCTAATGACATTATATGTACATATGTAAAATCCTAACATCCTCACTACAGCACAACACATTTTGTTTACTTCTGTGACATTTACACAATGCCTGCAATAAACCCTGGTTTACCAAATATGTTAAGCCAATATTTCTAGAATCAATGAATAAAACAACTGAGGAAAATCTAGACTCCATTTTAAGGAATACACTCTCCAAATCAACAGTGAAGCTGGTCACGAAACAAATGGGAAAAATTGGGAAGTAATAACAAGAGTTTTGGAAATTTACTTATTTATTTTTTGTCTCTTTGGTACAAGGAATCAAACTCAAGATGTTGTGCTTGCCGGCAGGTGCTATGAGCTTTAGAAATTGAAATGAGGTGAAGACTGTGCATGAATTTAACAACCACAATCACATGTCTTAGTCTTCCATGAGGCAGAAGAGAAAAGCAGGAGGAAGAAGGCACACTTACTCAAGTCAGAATCTCTTCATGACAGCATAGGAATGAGATGGTGCTTACTGTCATTTGTGCTCCATTTGAAAATCAAAAGAAGTTTTCCATGGCAGACAGTGATGTCAGGATGAGAGATAGCAAACTTAAGACTTACAATGCTATCCTTCCTGAACAACTGTAGAAGATTAACCAAAGATTAAAGACAATTGTTTATTTATACATCAAACAGTACCATATATTACAGTGAAATGTTTCTATTATCCTAAGTAATCATGTAAAATTTATGTCCAAATTCTCCTAAATTAATACAATAAATTGTGTAAGAGCAAATATTTGAAACCTTGTTTTTAATGGTTAAAACACTCCCCAATGTGTACTCAGTTTATATAATGGTGACCATTTTTTGAAAACTAGAAAATGCATGATATCACAAAAAAAGAAAATCTTTATAAAACTCATTGAAATTCTGTAATGTGATAGAATTACATGTAGCAGCACAATAGCTAACAACAAAAGTGCACATTTGAAAATACCTAGGAATCAGGCCAAAGATATAACTCAGTGGCATAAGAACCTGATGCAAGCACAAGGTCTTGAGTTCAATACCTGGCACTGCAAAAAAATAAAACCATGAGAGATGATTCATTATGTTCTCCTCACAAAGTAATGTCTGCAATGATAGAAATGCCTATCACCCTAATCTGATCTTTACACATTGTATATATTTTGGAAAGTCACCCTTACCTCACACATATGTCTAGCAACATCATTATCTTTGCAGGCAAAAAACTGAAAAATAATGAACAAAAACCTATGATGACGGGTAAAGAACACCTGGTCATGAATTCTTTCTCTTTACTCCATAACTTAGAGACCAGACTGTTGTCTTAGATAACTCTCTGACATGCAGCTTTGAAGTAGTTTGCCTTTTTCCTTAGGATTCAGCCTGCTGATTGAAAAGGTAAGTGTTGGACCAACAGAACAACTTCCTCAGGTGCAGACATCCATGATTTGAGGATGAGAGCATGCAAAGCTCTTATGCTGGTCACTGGGGTCTTCAGGTTTTTCTGACAAGAATAAGTTTACAAGCATTAAAACAATTTATGTTTCAAACCAATCTGTGTTTCAGTTTTGCCTAACAAACCTGAGTGCCAAGACATCTCTTCAATAGTGTCTCCAGCCACCAATTAGAAGGATAAACACAAAACCCACTAACAGACATGCAAGGAAAAGCAGGACATTCTTATCTACTTACGCTGTATTCTTTCTTATTCTGTCTCTGTGAGTTTTATGTTACTTTATCAGATCATCACTAGTTAAAAGCTCAGAGCCATAAATATGATTTACTGATTCAATACTCTGATTGTATAACATTTTATGATGCAGTATCCTGTACTCTGGAGAATTCCTCCGTGGAAAACTTGGAATCTCTTCTCACAGACCTTCTCATGTTCTGTATGATAATGAGAGGTTTGAAGTTGGCCCCTCAGATGAGAACTCTCAGGAGAACAAGCTGGAAGCACCACTCCTTCATATGTTCATGGGGAATAAACACCACTTACACAAGAGACAGTATGGTCACAGCTCTTATGAGGAGATCAGAGCCAAGGACAAGGCAACGCTGTAAACAAGGAAAAATAGAAGAAATGGGGTGAGGGTGTGAGCCAAGGAAAGAGGCCTAGATGCAGAGAGTTGGATGGGAGAGAGTTCATAGTTGCTGCAGTGGTGGGAAATTAGTTAGGGAAAGTAGACTCAAGACTCTGTGGTGAACATCTGTGTGCTCCCAGCCCCAGAACTTGTATCTTCTGAGAGAGAGAGAGAGAGAGAGAGAGAGAGAGAGAGAGAGAGAGAGAGAGAGAGACAGAGACAGAGAGACAGAGACAGAGAGACAGAGACAGAGAGACAGAGAGAGACAGAGACAGAGAGACAGTGACAGAGAGACAGAGACAGAGAGACAGAAACAGACAGAGACAGAGACAGAGACAGAGACAGAGACAGAGACAGACAGAGATCCGAGTCAAGATGTCAAGATGGTGTCTGATGCACCTCTATGATTTCTATCCAGCGTTGTCACTACTCAGTATTTGTTAGACCTCTGCTCCTACAAAGCCATGGATAGATGCCTACATGATTGACTGCTGTGGATGGTCATCAAAACTTGCCTCTGGCAGACAGTGATGAGAGAGAAGCCCTGCTTGAGATCACTAACTCTTGAAATTTTCAGGTTCACTGCTACCTTGTATTAAACAACTCTATTTGGCTTTCCTGGTAAGCTTTAGCAATGTAAGGCTACTGGTCAGTTTTTGAGAATGCAAGTCACACTTTTGCTAGGGGTTAGAGGGTGGCTAATTTAACAAAATTCATCAGAACCCTTAAAGAGAATCCTACTCAATTTTTTTCTAATCTTTGGAAATACTTCCAAGGAACTAATTAAAACTACATATAACAGGATCTCTAAATCTATGAAAGAAAGATGAACAGACTTGACATAAGGTTAAGATATACCCAGTGAACTTGGAGAAAACATTCGGAAACTACTGAACACAAAATGATGACTTGATAAGTGCCCATTTCAGCAAGGCACAAAGTATTCATGATCTGCTTTCTTATGAAGAGTGAAGACTTGTGGGGAAAATAGGTATCATCAAAGCATTTGACACATAAGCCTACACATTAAATCACAGCACTATGAAAAATGCATGTGAAGAATTAAATAGGCTTGAACTATCTTGGATTTAGCGGTCAGTATCTCTAAATGACAATGCATTCAAGTCCCCCATCCCTTCTAGAGATGATGGGGAATACCAGTAAAAATATATTGGTAAAGATATTGGGGGAAGCATGGGGCAAGTGATTACTTGGCCTCTGTTATTTCTTGTAATTAATGTTAACCTAGAGGATGGCTGGAGCAAGAAGCTGGATTGCATGGTTTGGTGGATTCAACATCTGCTCTCAAGTACACTGACTCATAGTGAGTGCATGATGGCAGCAACAACCAATTACTTTCAACTAACTAACAAGAATTTAGTCTAATAATCAGGAGAAAAAGCTATACTTAAATACGTTAAGATAGCAGTCCAGAGTAAAAATTCAATCACTGCCATGTTGGCCTTGCTGTTGGCTGGTAGGGACAGCACCAGCATGGTAATGCCATGCTTGCTCAGCAACACTGGGCAGAAGAAGGATCTATATCTGTGATAGAAAACTTCAACTAGAACTCTGAGGACTGACATCGAGGATAATCTGAGACAATGTTTTGGCAAATTAATGGTAGATGAGGAAGATGGCCTTAGTCTTATCAACAGCACAGCTGTTGAAGCTGAGTATATATGAGAAAAGTAATGACCAGTTTAGTCCAGCTGCTGTCTAGAGCACTTGGGGGCGGAAGGGATGGGAGATCATGCTCCATGTTCAACTTTACTAATAGTTCAATGAGTTTTATTGAGTATCTGTGATGTACCAGGTACTATGATAGCTGCTAGGGGAAGAATAAAGCAATTTAGGGCCTCAAATACAGTATAGAAAAAAGACATGAG